CCTGGGGGCTTGGGGGCTTGGGGCGGTGTCTGCCACAGCGATGTGCACCCAGCATCAGCGCAAGAAAAGGTCAAAGAAACACAGCTCAGGGGCATGGATCAGGGGTCTTGCGCAGCACCAAACACGATCTGGGATTTTGGTTATGAGATTGAGATTGAGACTGCATTGCATACTACAGTACTAGACCTTGCACTGCGCGCTGGTGGCAGATGCACGATCAAATAATGCGACTGACTCGGAGAGAAGGGCAAACCACCCTGGGCCTGGCAACGCCCTGCCCGGGATGCCTTCAGGCCTGTCTTGAGCGGGAGAGGAAGAGATGTGGCTCGTCGGGACCCAAGAATTCGTCGTCCAATCGCGGTATGAAGCGCTCAACGCGCCTCGAAGTTTATTTATTCAGGCTGGGCGGTTTCCCGGTTCGGCGGCGGTGTCTGAGAATCGGCATCAGTGACAGCGGGTGATGCTGTAGGCTCTCCGCAACTAAGGTATATATGACCACGTCGGGCCCGATCAGCGGGTTCTGGCCCATCATCCGTTTCCCCTCCTAATAGTCATGTCTCGATTCTTTTGCCACGTTGCGGAAGAGATTCAGGTAGCCAGCAGGTCTAGGACAGAATTAGTTAGAACTTGCAGAAACAATCTCCAATCTCAGGTTCCCCGTACCTTGTGGGCTGTACCTGTTGCCCCAAGCCCATGCCCATACATACCCTGGCAGGATGCTTTAAGCTCAGCTTATGGCTTTGCTTGAACCAAGACGTTTTGTTTGGCGGGTAGCATCTGTGGTTCAGTGGCAACATGTGCCCTCAACCCGTGGGCGATTCAAGCTCCGAAAATCAAACGGGAGTTTGAGCCTCGGGGGAGTTCGCGCTGGGGGGAGTGTTCAGCCCACGGGCTATAGTTTCCCACGCCCACGGAAATGGTTTCGATGATGGCCTGTCGTTGCCCGGGGCCCCAGAACCGCCCCTTGCACGACACTGGCTTTGCTGACACGCCGACGTGTCCAGCAACCAAACTACGGCCAATTCCACCAGGCCGGGCGACGAGGTACGCGGTACTTCGTAACGAAGGTCGGTTTGCTTGGGCTTCCAATTTATTGTCGCCATTATTCTCGTATGGCCAACAGGCTTATCGCCCGCAGCATACTAATTAATAGCCAAGAAATTCCTTCCAGGGGTCCAGGCCAGTAGTGGCTCCGGGGAATCGACAACCCCGATAAAGGCGCGCTACCTTCAGAGACACGTCTGGATAGGCGCCGATAGGAGTATTTGGGCGTTGCTGGACGAATATTACACCCTGTGCCGCCTGTACCGCACTGAGCGTACTTTGTGCAAAATGGTCAATATGGCGGCTCCATAATCGGCACGAACCGAATCCACACGTGTCTCCTTGTTGCTCAAAGCTTTCTTCTGTTGACATTATCATCCCGCAAGAGTCGTGTATTCTTTGAACGGCTTTGTGAGTGGGGGTACTTCGTACGCCCGGTGGAAATTTGCGGCTTCGGAACACTGTCAACTCGGGCGAAGCCTCTACATCAGACGGAAACTCCACGGACCGAGAGAGGATCACCGGACGGAATGTTCCGCGGGGAAACACAGCATCATAATATCGTAGGTAGCACTTTGTAAGTAGTACGTAGTACTCGCGTTGTATTCCGCACGTGCTCTTATGACTGCCGCTTGGAATGGTCCCTCTAGTTCCCGAAAAGCGTTGGCCGCTATGTTGAGCTTTGGACGGAGTAAATACGGTACTTAACACTGCCCAAAGCAGTGTCCTAGCTCGTGTGCTAGGCATGGGCGCCAGCATCATTTTGCAGGCCCCCTGGGTAGCTTGGACCAACGTGCATCTCTCTTTCCCTGTCAAGTGGGACCCAGAACTCTGGTCGTAGTCGATCCTTCCGGGGCTGGTTCCAGGCGGAGGGAGAGAGAGGGACGGTGCTGACAATGCTTGCGTGCCTTGGCCTTTGCAGGCGGCGAGCAGATTTTGTAATTCAACTTCATGCCCTCAAGGAGCATAATAACCAACCAGGAATCCATGATCGATCATCCTCGGGGTTACGGTGGAAAACGAAACGCTAAAACGACTCGCGATTATTATTAGCACTCGCGGTTAAAGCAAGAAGAGTGCTCCGTACCTTCGCACGAGAGTTCCAGGGGGATCGTCGAGATAATAGGAGAGTTATTATCATTATGATACTTGTTGTGGCGCACCATCCTTCAGCGCACATGGCCACGCATACGCATACGCAGGAGCTCCAAGAGCCTGGGAGGTGGGTTAGTTGGTTGGTTGTTCCATCTCATGGGCAGTCCGGAAACCCGGTCGCTGCGGATGTATTGGTGACGGCACTGCGTGCGAGGAATGCGCTTTGCCGCTGCCCTGTCTTCTTTTGGTGTTGATGTCGATATTGATGTTGCTGTTGATGCTAATGTTGATGCCATTCCTGGAATCAAGCCTCCAAATCCCTAGGTACCTAGGTACCTTGCCTGAGACGGATTTCCCCCACGTGACGTGATGCCAGCTAAAACCAACTAATAACCCCCAAAACACCAACCACTGAGATCATAAATGGCGTGCAATCAGCCAAATTGCAGCGCATAGTTCCTGGAGAGTTGAAAGTGATGCTTTGTGTTCTTTGTGAGGTTGTGGGAGAAAGACTGAAGCTTGACAAGGAGTGTCGCAGCCAATCGCCCTGCTCGTGGGGGGTTTTTAGGGGCTGAGGAGGTGGGGGGAGGGGGGAGGGAGTTTGGGACCACGGTGAACCAGAGTGGGATATGATAATGTGATATTTTCCCCACGAAGGATGAGGTGCTGGCCTTCCCTGGCTCTGCTCATTTCTGGTATCTATCTAACTTAACCAAGCAATATGAGGCGAGCAGAGAAGGTCTCCGAGGAACTGCTACCGGTATCAATTGTGTAATACAACTCAGGACGTTGTGCACGTGACATGCCTATCCTGTAGACACAACCCTCTGACGAGTACCATTCTATCAGTCAGAGCCGGCACTTCTCGTTGCCGGATATCTAGCTCCCGTACGGGTCGTAGCGCTCCCTTGGTAAGTAAACAATAAACAACCACGCACAGAGCCCCCTTTGCCCCTTTTTGCAGGTTGCCCCTTTACGAGGATGCTCGCTGCAATTGCAACGACTAAAATAGAGACGGACGGACGGCCGGCCCCACATCCACGGGCCGGATAGCTCCCACGACTCTAATCCTCGAAATCCCTACGAGGTAACCTGATCGTGAACCCTTGTAGGGAGCACGAAGGGCTTGGTACAGTATCAAAATGCTCTCTCCAACTGGCTTGTGCGATCGTCCGGTAAAGCAAGAATTTCGAAGTATTTCAGTCCTTCCTACTTCGTGCGTCTTTGCTGCTGTACTCCGTATGATCGTATTACCTCGGCAAGAAGCCGGTTTCAGGTCTGATCGACTAATCGGAACTCCCCCCCCCCCGGACTGGTTCAGGTACAAAACATAGTTTGCAGCTACTGTACAGACTAGATGCTACGCACAGTGCCCCGTATATTATCCTCATGCGTACGAAGCATGCCTTACAGTATACTCCGTAACATGCATGTACTACTTCGTTCGCACTCCGTAGCACAGAACCGTACACGGTCTACCCCTGATACGGAACATATTTAGAGTCCCCCGGGGGGCAAACCAGGGTAAGCGAGCGGTAGTTATGGTGATGCTTACCTGGTTAAGGGCAAAGAGGCAACGCTCGCCGACGGGGAACTCCAGCGTTTAGCTTCCCCGGTTCAGTAGCCGTACGCCATGGTCCCAGATTCCCAGATACACCCCAGACCTTGTCCGTGAAACTGGCACACACCAGCTGCTCAGGACGGCTCATGGCGCTCTCTCCATCTTCAAGCCATTTCGTCACTTTTCATATACTTATCCCCCGACCTAGCATCCTGCCATGTGTCCAATGAAACCCAACTGCTGCAGTTCTGTTCGACTTGACTTGCATCGACGGACCTGCAGCTGGCAAAAAGCTCCGTCTCCAATCGCATCCAACCATCCGTTTCTTCAAGGTCGGTCTGCAGCACTGAGCCATCCTCGAGGGTCTATACATGTTTGTATCAAATTCCTCCGCTCTAGCTCTGCTGCACCAAGCTAGGTCACTAAGTGTAAGAAGCTAGAATACTCGCTATCACGATCCTCGTTGGGATATGTTCTAGGGACGATATTGCGTAATATGACGGGCGTCACTCCCACGAGTTATCTGAAAGCAAAAGGAAGTCCAGAATCTTAAAACGGCCTAAACGTCCCCGCTTCATTTAAAACTCGTCAATGCTAACTCCCCCGATCCTGCCCCAGAACTGGGCAATCTAGTGGTATTTGCACGACAGCTGAAGTAGTTGGCGGGAAAGCTAATTCAGGTCCTTTCAGTCCAGTGCCAACAATACCCAACTTCTCTATATGATATCATATTTCCATAAGGCGTCCCCCTACGAAGTCTGGGGTAGGTGAAGGCTGAAGCGCCTCACCCACCCATGCTTCCCTTGCCAAACAACAAGGCTCACAGGCGTAACGTTCCTCCGAGAACTGACTTAGTACCCGCACCAGTTAGAGATATTCTTGAAAATTACTGTGTTGGTACTTCTCTAGCAGCACAATTAGTTTGTTATCAATCGCCTTAGTTAGGAAATATTAAACCCATAGGTCTAATTTGTTGCTATACGAAGTATGTTTCTCATTCATAGAGCTCGGGCTGTAGATTGTAGGCAAATTCCATAAGCCACATATTCGCGGGTTTGCCACCAGCTTAAAATCCCGCCACAGGGCGTCTAATTCCCGTTCGAAAACCTGCTTTGGAACCTAAGACAGCCGTGAAAGTGAGAGGTCCGATTTCTGGCCTCGGACCGAAAGGTTTCGTCAAGCACCGCCGCAGAAACTCGGGGACCTTGACGTCGGGAATTAAGATGCTATTGGCAGGTACAAGCAGGAGGGATGGATCTTCCAAGATTACTGATCCAATGTCATAATGTGGCAAAGGGGCTTCATATTGGGATGGCCAAAACGTGTCTCGATGGTTCGAAAACGTGGGTTGTGCCGTGTGGATCTCCAAGGCGGTTGAGAAGGCACCAGCAAGGTGATAGAAGAGGCGGCAAGGTGATAGAAGAGGCGCTGAGTCGTTGCAACCCTTTCCTCCCCATTATTTCGAAAAGGTTGCAGTTTCCAGGTGTTCTAGGGCCTTCCCTGCCATGTACCTTGGTACTGAATGTCCTACCCACCCTTTGCTTTTAGAGATGAAGATCCATAAAGCTGATGAGCCACAAATGAAAATCTTAGATGGCACTCATGCATCTCTTGCTGGTGGATGACCTTGTCGATGTAAGGTGGCAAGCTGGGCAAGGAATCCTTCATACACATTCATGCTGGTGTTCCCAGAATAGGTGTTTTAAATGAAAATGAATGCATTGCGATCCAGGTACAAGGTAACAGTATTGTGCCCTGGATCCCTGATATGGCAGGCTATCTCACAGAGTTGAAATCAAGGAAGTTCGCAGCAAGTACGTACCTTTATTACCAGTGACTCCTACGGTCTCTCAAGGACTAACAAGAGTGATGACAGTGCCTATCGTTTGAATCTTCTAATCGAATACTTTCTGGATGGATATGTGGCGAGAAGGAACCGATTACGGCAAATATTTCCCTGGAGATAGATGAATGGAGCATGGAATATCATGGCTGGAGCAATCTGAGAGCTCGGATCTCCTGTCAACTAGAATGGGGGGCATGACGAGTCGTGTCACAGCGCCCAAATCAACTGTGTTATGCGTGATTTCCTTGCCTATAATACGTATGTCCCGTAGGTAATGGGAACAACCTGCCTCTTTGGGATCCAGTTGTGGTTATTGTCACACCCGAAACGTTGAACAGGAAAATTAGTCAGTTTGAATCACCTCTTTACATATTCAGGATAGAAAATACAGTTCTAGGACGATGAATGGAGGATAGTCAATGTTATAAATCCGCTGGATGATGCTATATATTTCCCATTTAATATGATTCAAAACAACAGTCAGCAGCGTATTCAATGGTGGGGTTAATACCAAATTTCCTACCACTAACAAGAGGAGTATTTTGAACGGCGTTGAAGTGCGGAAATACCCATGAAAATGATGCCTGAATGATGCACTGTGTTCTTGCTTCAGCGAGGTTTGTTCTCTCATAATATAAATTTGAAAATACCCTACAACATGACTTTAAAAAAGGATGAGCAGCATATCAGATGCTCTTATTATCCAAACAATATCCGAATATTAGACAAGGAAGACCGACAGCAACCTTGAAACCCAAACAAAGACTTCGAAGTTGGGAATAATATATTTTACTTTTATAGATCAAGAGAGGGACCGGTATGAACCTCCCAAGCCCCTATTCCAACCACCCGAACTCCCAAAAAAACTGCCATAAACTCATATAATTTTAATAAAGCTATATCCTGCAGAAATAAAATCCTTAATAGGAAACTAGCAAATATTGTGGGGATATTATATGTAGTAATACTTGATTGCTAGCACGGAAAAATAGAAAAGTTGAAAAACTACACAAACTTTATCTTAAGCAAAACATAGGCTCGTGAGACAAAGCAAAAATATGGAAACAGATAATAGGGAATTTGCACTATCACGTAGCTTTTATCTCCCACAGAAGTTATTGGCGTAAGAGAGATAAAATAATGGGATATGTAGCTAACAATTAATCCTGACAAAAATATTACTTATTCAGATAATTCATGAGTAATTTAGAGTAAATAAGAATATTAAAATAACAACTTAAGTTGAATAACTAGAACAACTGATATAAGCTACTCTAAATTACTCTATTGAATAAGAGAAGAGTACGAGTAAGCATAGCAAAATATAAGTTAAGTAGTGTATAAGTAGGAGTGGTTGCTTTACTTATTTTGCTTAATTTGGTATATCAGTTAGGCGTAATACTAGTAGCGGAATAGATGGACAGGTATAACACTAGCCAACTCCCCTGCGCTCTACCTACATCAACGGTCTCGGGCTCCTCGACAAAAACTTCTGAAACCCTGGCCATTTTGAGTAATGGGGGGATCTGTAAAGAGGAGGCTAACCAGACGAAGGGGTAAAAGTGATGAGAAATACGGTTGGACTAAGAATTAATCTAACTAGTTGAAAACCTGGTTAGGAATCCAAAATCACGCCCTGGTCCATCAGATTGAATCGGAAGGAGGGATAGTATTTATTTGCCATTTACTATGTATGTCCATGATCCAGTTTTCACATGGCTATCGATGGGGCCAAACTACATTTCAAACAAACGAATAACGGACCTCCTTCCTAACCTGCCTTGCCAAATTCAGCGCCTCGTCCCTCCCCGCTCTCGAAAAAACGTTAAAATACGCCAGAAAGGTATTGAAGCCTGAACTCGGATGCGGCACCTTCTGTCCTCGCTTGACAAGGCACGTGCATCGACTGATATGTTTGGCAAGATCTGGTCTTCGGGCCATCAAGTCAGCGCAAATGTCCTCCGAGTCAAAGATGCCTTGGCACGAGGAGGGATAGTCAGTAGAAATGAAGACCATGATGCAGGTATGCTGTGCCCCGTGTTTGAACGGTTGGGAAAGAGCGTGAACACGAGGCTTGTCGTCTACGGCGATGAGCAAGGCCAGGCCCCAGTAGTCGATTCCATAGGTGGATTCGACGATCTGTGAGCCCGTCATGCCGAGAGGACGCGGATTGATTTCGATGAGCCAGGCTGTTGGCTGCTGCTTCGTAGGTTTATTGGTGTCGTCACAAGGGCACAGGTCGAGACCTCCGCTCTGCGTTGGTTTGTACTCAACCGACGAGTACTCGACACGGCCCTCCAGATGCATGATGCCGTCCTTGAGACCTAGCTTAAGTAGCGTGTCCAGGAAGCTGTTGCGAAGCAGATTTATTTCCTGAGATGGTAGAGCTGACAGGTATACACTGTCCAACTCGTGGAAGATGGTGAGTGAGCCTACGCTGGGGCCATTGATGTCGGCCGACTTGGGGAAGTCGTCGCAGACTTCGAAGAAAAGGACCTTGCCGTCTAGGAGGACAAAGTTGCCATCAATTTCTGGCCCAGCGCAGTATTTCTCTATGACAAATTCGGATCCGTGGCGAGACGTATCGATGGCATTGATGGCCATTGTGAGCGCGTCAAGGGAATCGACGCGGGATACTCCTTCCGAACTCCAGCCATCGCAAGGCTTAACGATGAGCGGATAGGAAAGCTCGGGTTTCTTAGCAATATCGAGAGCTTCGTCCAGACTAGACGCGCAATAGGCCTCATTCCCGACAAATACGCTTGTCAGGTACTTGTTCGTGGCAATTCTGAACGCGTCTTGTGAAGAGGTCTGAAGACCCAACTGCTGCGCGGCTCGAGCGACGTAGACCCAGAAAGAGTCAGCGAAAGTGATTATGCCATCCACCGGCTTGCCATAAGCCTTCACGGATTCGACAATTCGGTTGGCCAAGTCTTCTTCGGGTGGGTTGGTCAACCGGGTGGGGATAAAAGCTTCGCGCCAGTGTGCATAGTCGGGACCTTCAAGCCAGTGTCCTGCATTGTCTAGCACGACTAGGTTGATGCCGAGCTCGATGGCTACAAGGTAGAAGCCATACCCAGTACCACATTTGTCGGGGTGTGCGCTATTCCCGTCAACTAGCACCAGTGTTCTGCGTCTCGCCGCTCCAGGCAATATCCAGGGAAATGAGAGTCTGTTCTCGAGTTCCGATTCCACGGCCAGAGACAACGCTTCAAACTCGGCATTTGAACCACGTTCGGAATCATGACGCAGAAGGAGACTGGCGGTGGCGGTGGAGAAGAGTGCTGGTAGGTCATTGGCATCAGAAAGTGCAATTGAACGGCCACTGTAACTCTCAAGGGTTTCAGCGAAAGACAATGCCGCCTCAACGTATTGAGAATCCCGAAGGCGCAGAGGAACAATGTCTGAGCGTACTATATACCCTTTTGCAAGGGGGCGATAAGTTTCGCTACACGCTTTTGGCCTGGACTAGATGCGCTTGTGGCGCGGAGGCATTGCAAGAAGAACTGGAATGCTTTGGACGAGCCGAAAGATTCTGGTATAATCTTTTTGGGGGCGTTTCGTGGTCAAGATGGAGGAGATAGATATCGTCATGGCTATGGAAGGGCTCGACCACCTTATTAGATGGGGACTCTAGCTGGAACACGATGTCTAGGGACTGCCAGGGATTTCCGGTGGATGGGATTTCCAAAAGGCACCAAGAAAACTCTAGCAGTAAGGCTGTTCTTGTTCAGCACAGTGGAAATTGAAGCAGGGTACGTTTCTTACTGTCATCATTTTTAGACCAAACCTGGACTTTCTGAGGGCCCCCCATTAGAATCGAATACTATACCTGGCGAAAGTGAGAGAAGTACACTGCCAGAGCGTATCTGCTCTTACAAAGTGGGTCGTATCGTCGGCTCGCAAGACAGAATTTGTCACTGGTCGAGAATATCAGATCACAGGCAACTGTGCCACCTACCTATGCATCGATAAAGGCCAGTTTGCAAGACTGGCCACCTCTTCTCCATCTGCAGATTGCGTTAAATTAAAGTTCTTATAACTCAAAGTCCAACCGTTGGCGTAGTGTTTCGGCCATGGAAGACGTTCGGTACTCTAAGCATACGAACCTACCTAGGCGTCTGATGCTGCCCCTAGAAGTTCCACGATTGTTTCTTGAAGGAATGATACAAGCAAAGAAAACTTTCTTATACATACATAGCAAACATTATATGTTGCTGTATCTGACAGTAGTTGACATTGACAGTGGTAGGGCCGTGGGAAGCTACTTTATATAAGCGAAAATAATTCTCCGAACGGGTTTATCCGTCCAGTTCTGGCAAAGCACAGCTACCTGCAGCTTATCAACAGCTACCAAACCCAGCTTCAGGCATGTCCTCGAGCTTTCGACATGCTCTCAGCTATCCACCCATTTCGAAGGCCTATGTGCAGCGAACACCTGGTCGGGGCCGCCGAGGAGGAGTCACGGAAGGTCTGTCCCAAACTCATATCATACTTTTAATCTAACACTTGTATTTTATAGCGTCCTACCTTTGTTCCTCCAACGGGAGCAGGCGAGTCTGCTAAGCCAGAATGCATGAGTACCGTTAGATACATCCGCGTCCCAGGTCCCTGGGAGAGAGAGGCAAGACCGGACCTACCACCAGAGTGCTTCGAAGCACGGGAGCCGCGGCCTGGCGAAGTGATATATGTGACCAAAGGCAATCGTGTAGCTACGGGAGGGACCGCATTTATTGAACAGTTGCCATCTGGGAACATAGTCAAAACCCCCAAACCACACCCCCTCCTCTATAAAAAACATTGCTACAATATGTGCTTGGAGGCTTCGATATACGAGAAGATTGGTAGTCATAGAAGTATACCACGAATCGTCGAATGGGACTCGAAATCTTGCTGCCTTACAATGGAGTATATGGAGAACGGCAATCTTCGCGAGTATATCCGAGAAAACCACGACAATATAACCCTCGAGCTCCGCTACCGATGGGCAAGGCAGGCTGCTGAAGGCCTGAGTGTTGTTCATTCTGTTGTTGCCGTACACTGCGACATCTCGCCAAGAAACTTCTTGCTCGATGGCGACCTAAACTTAAAGATTTCGGATTTTGGCGGTGGGTCGCTATTGGGTTCTACGCCGTCCGTAGTTTCCGGTACGCGATTCTTACCTCCCGGCTTTGACGAGGATGCCCCGCCAGCTTTCAAAGACGATATATTTAGTCTAGGATCCTTGATTTATTTCATAATGGTAGGGAAATACCCCCACGAAGAGGCTCCAAGCGATGAGGTTGAGAAGCTATATGGAATGTATATGTTCCCTGATATAACGCACGTCAGTTGCGGAGCAGTCATCAAACAATGTTGGGAGATGCAACTAGATACAGCTCAAGAGTTGCATGACCGCCTGGAGGCTCTTGCACCTGCCCGCTGCCCGGATACTGAACCTCCAGCTTTAGTAGTTCTCACCGAGTACCATACCTAGGTACTCCGCAAACCCTTCGTCTTTGTGATTATTACACATGCCCCGACTGACAGTCTAGCCCATGTGAACTTCTTTTAGATTATCACACTCCTTTTTCGTCTCTGCATACTTGGAGGAACCCTCAGTTATTGATTCGCTCTTGACAACGGTGCACGTAGGGATCTAGTAGCTATGTAGGTATGTATATATTGGATAGGATAAGCGAAACGTAAATGCTGTGCAATATCTTCCATTACAGATAGTATACAAATGGTGTACATGATATCTAGCACCGAACTCCTAGTCCTGCAACATTGTCTAGTCCACCAGCTTTCCGTGGAAGGGCAAACCCATTGCGCTAAGAAGGAGCCTTGCATGTCGATCAGAGGTCGCAGAAGTATGGATGGTAACGTGGAAACCTGGAATCATCTTTGGCGGATACATCTACTCCCCATTAGCATTTAAACTTTTGCAACATAGAATCGGTGCCTACATCGTAGTTGACCTCGATTTCAGGGAACAACAATGCGCCGTCTCTGTTGAATCCGAAGCTGATATTACCGCTACTATCACCGGTTGTTCCTACTCCAGTTAGCAATCTGATCCAGCGTCAATGATGAAGAAGTACATACCCTCAACACCTTCCCAATCCTTCAATTTTGGAAGCACGAGATTTATACATTTGTCAACAAACTCGTAGGCTTGGTTATTGCGTAGAGTGCAAGTCAACGAGATTGGCATCCCCTGACGAATTCCAAAACTAGCTACACCCTGCGTCGCCTTGAAAACTTTTGGTTTTACTCCAGTCACGGCTTGGAGTGCCATCCCGGCGATATGCAAATATGCAGAATCATCCATTGCCCCCTTGACCATGCTGTGAACCGTCACGCCCTGAATTTTTGGAATATTGCGCCAGCTGATATCTCGCTCTATCAATCGGAGAACACCCTCTGGGCCTCTAGGCCCGCGCTTTGGCCTGTTCTTGTGGTATGGAGAGGAGTCGTCCCATGTTCGTAAACGATCTGATTTTGGAATGTCGACGGTTCCGGGAGGCCTGTGAGCATACCCTAGGGTCATGAGATCCGATGCAATGGTAGATTGGAAGGTTTGTTCGAGCCGGGTATGAGAAAACGGGCCAGGCACAAATTGGCGCGAGGCAGGATCTGATGTTGGAGGAGGTTGATGAGGATGCAGCGGGCCTCGATAGTATCTTGGGGATCGATATTGGTATCTGGAAAGGTGTAAGCATGGGAATTCTGCAGGGCAATCGACAGCACTCGTACCGACTGGAGGGAAGCTCTATCTTGCGGCCTTCCGCCCGCTTTACGGGGTCAAATCCTGCAGCTTTCTTTGGTGAGAACCTCGTCGAGAGGGAGGATTGAGGTTCAAGGTCTTGCAAGTCTTCCGAGACCTCCTGGACTGCCGCAGCCTGCCCCGATGCATATCGACGGGGGAATTGCCCGATAGCCACTGCAGTCGACCGAGCATGTCTATTTGCCAATTGCCGCATAGCGGACGGCAGCTCTTGTAATGCCATGATGCAGATGGTTTGACGCGACTGGAGAGCAGCCAAAATCTCGAGAGAGATGTTCTTCGCCAGGCACCCAGAAAATATTTCTGAGGCATCAACACGAGGCTGTGGGACCCGACCCCGGCACCGCCTTCATCATCCTGGACTCTGTGCTTCGTACTCTGTGTGCACTTCGTAGCCTGCCCAGGCTGAATCCTGAATCCAGACCGGGCCCAAGAGGTCGCGCAACACCTCCTGCGCTACTCGACGCCCCCCATACAATTTGACTCCAACAGCGCAGAAGGATATCCGGTGTGGTTTCGCCTCTTCGTCATACGAGTCTGCTGTTAGCAGTTACCCCTCTTGTTTGCGACGATCAGTCGACTGAAATAACGATCATTGGAACACACTCGACCCGTGCAGCAGACACCCCGACGGACCGCGTCACCCCGATGTTGGGCAATGGGATTTCAGAAACCCTCAAGGCAGCCTTGAGTAAGAGCAGAGGTACTTGAGTTTCGCCAATCCACAGAGACGGCGACTCTACTCGCGGATAAACTACAATTTTGAGTTGTGACATACAACTGGAGATAATCTCAGATTCGATCGCAGCTAGTATGAACATGAACCGGTTTTTGAGCAAGAGGGAGAAGAATGGCGTAGGCTATAGGCGAGAGAGATCGAGGGATAAGTCCGACAAGAAGGTAACTTGTTTTAGAAGCTGCTTTACTGTCCTTTCCATGAGGGAGAACCCCGCAGTCTCCAAATGCGGTCGATTCCCGCAGCCTTGTTATGTCTTAATGCAAAGCGCTCTCCCCAGTGCCAAAATCCATGCGCTATAATATATCACACAAGTGCTGACTCTTGGCCTTGCTTCCCCCTATAGTCTCGACCACTTTCCAACGAGAGCTTCGTGGCATTATTCAAACCGGATCCCCAAAAGAAGATCGACAAGGAGATGAGCAAACAGGTAAGACTTGGAAATTCTGGCCGGGGATTAGTTAGTAATAGGGACTAGATATCCTCTCTCAAGGACCGAATGCACCGCCGTGGATATTCAGGCATAGAGGATGAGCACATAACCTATGCATTAGCCTCCAAGTTCGCCGACGGGGATGTAGACAAAGCTTTTGAGATGATGGTACTATTCAAGGAGTCCGCGGATGGAGTTGTCAAACCGTATAACCCAGCAGTGCATATGCTAGGCGCCGTTAATCGAGAAGGCGTTACATGCTATCTTGATGGGCTGCTATTTGCGATGTTCGCCCGATTAGGGAGTTTCGAGCCCATACTGTACACAACCTTTGAAGATGAGCCTAGGCGACGCCTTTCAACGCTCATCCGATTGTGGGTGAACTTGCTGAGAACTGGCAAGCTAATTGAAACCGACTTGGTACGTCCACAATGCCATTTCTGTATTGTGTCGCTAATTGTAAATTGTAGACCGGCTATCTACAAGAGGCTTTAGCAGCGTGTGGCTGGGCCGAAGCGGCGAAGCTCGAACAACAAGACACTTCAGAGGCGTTTAGCTTTATCACAGGAATCCTCGAATTACCGCTACTTACCTTGAAGGTGGACATCTATCATACTGGCACAGAAGATGATAAGGATGACCACAAGTTCGTCCAAGAGCGACTTCTCGAAGTGGCTGTACCTGAAGACCCCAACAATGGATTCCCAATCCGGTTGGAGGACTGCCTTGAAAACTACTTCAACAACCGAGTTGAGGTCGTTCGAAAGTTGGAGCGTTCCAATACAAAATCTTCGATTCTGTCTGGTCAATCACAATATCCTCCTGAGAAGGAAGGAGTACAACATATCGAAATTTCGGATCTTACTTGGTCAACACCGGGCACCCCATCATCATCTCAAGCACCAAATACTCCAATCTCACCAGGTGGTCGCCATCGTGCTACAAGCATAATATGGCATCGTGTGATACAAGAAGATGAGAAGGACGGTTCCATGGATGGTTCTACCAAGCCTACTGCCCCTACCCTGTCACGCAAGACTTCTATTCGAAAAGAGGTTTTAATGCCGGCGTGGCAGTTCTTCAATCTAATACGTACGTTACCATTTCATTCGCATATTATCCTATTTTCTAGTCGGATTTCCTTTAAAATACCGTGCTAATAGATTTAATAGCATGGTACACAAAACACTCACCCGCCAACGATGCGGAGGTTGCAGCACATTTTTCGAAGACTCGTCCAGTTCTGGGTATCTGCTTGAAAAGGTATGCAATGACGGCCGAAGGAGAGCCTATAAGAAAGAATACTTTTATCGATATTCCTCTTGACATCAAGCTACCGCATTTTATCCAAGAAGACCTGGCAAAAGAGGATGGCCCATTAGTGGGAAATTTCAAACTTTCACTGCAATCTGTCATATGCCATCGCGGTAACTCGCTTAATTCGGGTCATTATATCTCGTTCATTCGCGGCACAACAAAAATCTCTGATGGAGATTCTGGATCTGCGCAAAAGCTCAACAATGGAGACGTTCCACCTCATTACCCCGAAGATAAATGGATCAAATTTGATGATATGGCAGTTCCGAGAGTCTCGTATGTGGACATTGAGCAGGCTATGAAGGATGAAATGCCATATCTACTGTTTTACCAAGTCCAGCCGACGTATGAGGTGCCTTCAGTCCCCGACTCCGAGACCCTTCCGCCGTCATACACTGATTCTGGTATTGGCTTGACGGTATCCAGCCCTCCATCCGAGCATCGTTTTGAGACTACCCAACCAGAAGGATATTTTGATGGTGCGAGCAATACGTCTACTCCTGCCATTCGCTTTTCCTCCGAGCTTGAGAGGCCCGAGGAGCCTAGGAGAAGCATCAATCTATCAGAAGGGCGTCGGGGAAGCCTTGCATTCACAGAAACCAGCTTGGGGAGTGGCACAAGCACCCACTTGACCTCGACACCAGTCACACCGAGTGAAGAAACAGCCGCACAGAGAATGTCTCGTGCCGCCGCTCGATTTACCAGAACTGGAAGCAGGAGTCGGCCGACAAGTGCATCTGGGGAAGGTAGGCTTAGTTTGACCCTGACACGGCTTAACTGGAGAACTAGCAAAGAGCAGCTAAACAACAAAACCGAGGCGACCAAAGAAGTGGAGAGCGTAGTTCAGGGCGATGGACCAGCAGACGGCCGCGGGTTGCTGGGTGCAGATGAAACTACCTCGAAACCTGCGGAAGATGCACCCTCTCAATCGAAGAAGGCGATCAAGAAACGGGATAGGAGTAAAGGACCATCGGAAACGATGGAGAACGAGCATCACGCTCATAAAGGAAAGGGGAAATCGAAGGATCTCCCCGATAGAGAGTGCAGCATCATGTGAATATGGGGAATTGGGGCATATAGGGAGGAGTATTATATCATTACGCGGTAGGATGGATATGGGGAATCACATAACGCATCGCATAGATACCTAGATACCAAGCATGGGAAACAACGGCATATAAACGGCGGCCGGTCATAGCTGGGGCGTTTGGGTTTGGTTTTACGATATAGAGGATGCGCTATGTTTGGGATGCAAATGAGACGCGGGACGCATTTCTAGCTAGAGCGCGAGCGCTTGATGGTTCGCTGTATAGCGAGTAGAGAGAATTGATATTCTTGAAGTCTGGCCGAGGAACTTTTGTATATAAAGTAACACTACATATATCCTGTAGTACATTGGACTTAGTTGGATAAATAAGCATGAGCCTATCTTGCGCTGCGTAGGACTCTGCTCATGTCGCAGCCAAGGGATCGTGTGTTTGTGTTGATTTGTTCAAACCCTGGCTACCCGTCCAGAGCCAGCGAATATTACTTGTCCAAGAGCCAAGATGCTCCACACCATAGAAACGAAGTTGTTACGAGACACACAGACACGTAGGACGAGCGGTGACGCTGTGGCAGGTGACACAAGTCTGGTTTTGCGAGCCTGTGGATGGAGGATGGAAAGCCCCGTGCTGTGGCGGCGGCGCGTGACTTGCGGCGCGAGTTATTTATAGCGGTGTGGAATTATTGGGTGCAGGGAGTGTGCTGATTTTGCAGGTGAAACGGGGGGGAAGAGGGGTTAATTGACTCGCTGTGTTAGTGGTGTCAAAGGAACTGGGGTTATGTTTTGGGGGCCGGTTGACAAAAAATCATGGCGATTATTTGAGGTGGGATAGAGTGTTTGATTACGCCCAGCTTGGTCGGTATTTAGGAGACGAGGGAATATGAGCCCGAACTCCAGGTAAGGATACAATATTATAAACTCCAATTAATCGACCCATTCCCTCCACTCCCCCCCGTATAATAGCTAAAACAAACACCAATTTGGGTATCATTATACCGGATTTCCATCTCATTCCCGAGGTTTAATCAGTCGTCTAGCATTTCGAGTGGGTTTACACTGGAAGCTGATGGGTCTGTGGTGGAGGGGCTTGGTAGGCCTGTTGTTGGGGTGGTGGGGTGTATGGTGGTTGTGGCTGCTGGGGCTGTTGATAAACCGGTTGCTGAGGTTGTTGAGGCTGCTGTGGGGGATATTGCTGTTGTGGGGGATATTGTTGATATTCGACAACTGCTGGCGGCTTTGCCTCCGTGTAAACAGCAGGTGGGGGGCCAGTTGCAGCTGGAGCTGGAGCAGCACCGGGGGCAGGGGCAGTTTGGCCAGCGCGAGCAGGCACGCAGTGACCACCAGCCTTGCGGTGTTTGTTAAGATAGACGGCGGTGAAGACGAGGGTGATGATGAAAAGAATGCTGCATCAAATTAGTAAAAATTGCGGCCCCCCGGTGGAGACGGTCGGCTTACAATTCCAGCCCTCCTAGACCAGCAGCCGCGGCCATCGCATTTCGGTAAGTATAAACATCAGTCGTGGCACGGGTTGCAAGCTCCCGCTTCTTGACGCAGTATCCATAGTAGTAGGTGCACGAATAACTCGAGGAGTAATACCATGTGTAGGCGGAGATTTGCGCGGCAGTTACAGAAAAGGAGATGATCCAGAAGATAATGGCAAAGATATCCAGGCCAATGATAGCCCAGTAGTTGTAGGCGGCGGGGAGGCCAGTGCTGGAGACAATAACGTAGACTGTGATGATCATAGTGGCGATGGCCTACGAGATATATTAGGAAAATGTTGGACACTAGGAATGCTAGCACCTACCGTGAAAAGCGTAAGGGCGATCCCATCGAATGCAATGAATGTAATGCCATAGGCAGCTAGACCGAGGATGGCGACAGCGGTGACTAGCTGGACGATTCTCAAAGCAAAGATTGGGGTGGGCAGTGCCAAATGGTGGCTCGGCCTGTTATGAAGTAAGGAAGACATAATACCTGACGATGTCTGTTTTGCTGAAGACTTGTACCTTATGTCTTGACGATGGGGGAAAAACGGCGAGAAGGGAAGGAATGCAAAGGAAGCACGCCAGCTATATACTTGGCCACGCACCACGCAGGACAAACGCCCGATTTCAGAGTTCCTGCGACCTGCGGCTTGGTGGAACGCATGCCAGTACCACCAAGCCAAGATGTGAGGAAATTAGAGACCATCTCTCAGCCGCATCCAAAGCTGAGACCTCTACTCGAGGACTCTGTAGGATCTACCAAGGCAGGGGGGGCCACTTAGCCAGTGCGATTGCTCCCTTTCAGCCCTATTCCCCATCTGGAACAGAAACAATAAATCCAAGCGCAGGGATATCAGCAACTGAGGTCAATCTCCCAAGGCACACTGTCGGGCACTTCAACGCACGACCAGCACCACCGATGATCTAGCCATCAAATAGCTACGAATGGCGTGCACGAAGTGGGGACCGGCGCAGCGCTTGCGGCAGTTGATTTGCTCGTCGCAACTTGAGACCTTATCCTGCTTCACATGCCACCCATGTAGACGATATAATTGACGTGGAGGCGCATCATTTCCATCCATTGGTGTGATCGTTGAAAGAGCGCGACTGGTCTCGACCTGGGCCTTCAGCTGAGTGCCGTCGATTCGAATTTCCCTTACCGCCTGGCGTGCGGAGGAGAACCGAAGTCTTAAGAACTCAAGGAGCCCTTTTTCTTCTAATAATAATAAGTGTCGGGGTCAGCCTCAAGCTATATCGCTAACCTTATGCTGGTTGCCGGACTCGTTCGATGCTGTGACCGTGTCTCGGCCAAGTGGCCAGATGGGGGCGGCCCAAACGAGAGGGCCGCTGCGTCGATGACCTCTTGAGGCTCTGAGCGAGGAATTGCGCTTGCGAAAAACAGAGCCTCATCCATCATACCTTTGCGATTGTCGTTTCTGTTTATCTCTCCTGTTTGTGAATTGCGATGTTGTTGAGGGTTCCAAGTCCAAGTAACCAAGCGCAAAGTGCTGCTGCGACGGGTACGAGGTACTGTACTTCGTACTCGGGTACCCGTATAGAATAAGTGGGGCTATCTCGAATCGTTGCCTAAAAAGGAAGTAAATCATCCCCAGTATTAAAACAACGAAAGAAATCATTAAAAAAAAGATATAAAGAAATGGCAAAAAGGTTCGAGATACCTGGGCGAACCCAGGATTCCTCTACATCCTCCCCTAGACAGGACTTAGTCGTGATCTAGGGCCGTTTCCCCTGTCCAATCTGTACTCCCCGGTGGTTAATGCACAGCTGCGATTTTGGCTTCACCCCGGGGGGATTTTAGCTTCTATCAGAAAGTGGTGTTTGGGAATTCGTCCGTATGTTGGTGTTCGAGCTGGTCTCCCGAGTGAGCCAGGTTGCCGGTTGTTACGAGAAAACTGCTTATTTGGAGATATAGAGAACAAAACCTTGAGGTGGCTTCTGTCCCTACCGCCTTCCTCGCGAGATGCTCTTCGACGGTCAAAATAGGCATCACGTGACTCGACCCAGTCCCCAGCTTCGTTGCCTTATGACGGTGCGTGGATGACATGACAGGCCGAGGTTCTACGTAGTACAACGCCCTATAACGTTGCTATAATCCTAGATACGGGGTGTGATTGGTAAATGAACGACCTGCACTGCACAGAGCCGTTCCACAAGAGGCAATTCCGGTACTTCAGGGGAAATGCAAACGAGGGATTAATTACTTAGTGTTACTGCAAATGGCAGCGGAGGATTACCTTAAGCAAGCTGCCGCAGTATATCACACCGTTTCTTCCTTCCATCTCCATCTCCCTCTCCAACCATAAAACACCACACCCCCACAGCAACACTCACTCCAACAACACTCACTTCAAGAACAAACAAGACTTCACTTTATTTCCCATCATCAACAGCCAAGGTAGGTTGATGAAACTGAAGGTCTGCAGGGGATTTGAGGTTATTAACAGGATAATAAGCACAACCAACATCCTCATCATGCCTTCTGTCATCGAGCAACCAGCCCAGGTCTCTGAGCAAATGACCACCGAGACCAACGCCGTCGAAGCCACTCAGCCTGTAAGTTTCACTATCTATTCTATGATCCTCATTGCGACCTTATCTCAGGTCCCTCGGCTAACACACGCCCGACATGACAGAACGGCGCTCCCCAAATGAGCACCTCGGGCGACTCCGTTGGCCTGCGTGGAGGAGAGGAGGCAGGCTGCGACTGCTGCTGCTGCGGTTGCGAGGAGTCTTGCTGCTAGATCAAGCATCAAACTCCCCCATCCGCCGCCGTCTTACAATGCCAACGGTGCGGAAAAGCGACCGATCGAAGGGGGGGGACTCTGAATACTTGCTTGATGATATGCGGGGAGAATTTATGCGCTGCGGGGGGCGCTGGTTACGATGATGGGTCGTTCATTTTAGACAGATGAATTGCACTATGATTTACCACCAACTGATGCCCCCGTTCTCTGGCATATTTGCATTTGATTGATCGTGAATAGAGATTGTCCTGCTCTGACAGGCGTTTCTTTCCACCGAAGCACTGTAGATTGAAGATAGCGATCACGATCTAGGGGTCAAGAGCCAAGGAAATAGCGGTGTGCCAAGATGTGGGGATGCCCGAAACTGGACCCTGCGGGCGCAGCCAAGGAAGCTTGACTATTCTGCCAAGAGCACTCCAGATACTCGAGTCCTGTGCCTCTTCGTTTCCTGATCTCTGCTTCACTCATACATAAGGTACATGATCTCTCAAGCTATATGTCGAATTCTGGAGCTCACCACTTCCCCTCGGCGGTAATCGCATCTCACCTCCTCCCTTGCTCCTTATCCGAAGATGGGGGTGCGGGATTTTGATTTTCGTATAACCATCCGGGGCCTCCAGAATACCGCTAGCCGGACGTGAGCAACTGCTGCTTTAACCTGAGCTGAGGGTGGGCATGCCGAAGCAGAGCCTGACCCATCCTGACCATCCTGACACGCCCTGAGTCAGCCTGCCCACCATAATATTAATATGGAGCCCATTTTGACCTCCTGTGTGCCCCCGCTACAGTTTCCTTACCGAATTTTGCCCGGGGATCCATTTTTTGCTTCCTTACGGAGTAGATCCCTCCTGTCAAATAGTACGTGACTCGTACCTCCCTAGTTCAGCCTTACAATTTACCAGAGTACTCCCGACAGCCGAAACGCCGTCTCGTTCGCAGGGTTCAATATCGCTTCTATCTTCCCACCTATCTCGCGAGGCCAACGTTATATCTACTAGATATAGCTTGATACTACAGCGAATAAATTCAGATTATATATTATTAAAGCCAACTTTATTAGCAATAAGCTAGATATATTTTTGCGATTCTTTTACTTCGATTTGTAATAAGCTGTATATCGAGTTGTGAAATATATTAGAGACTCGCTGGTCCCTCTTAAGTATCTCCAATTACAGCTTGCTATCGTAGTAGTAATAGTAGTAGTACTGTGAAGGGGTAGAAGTGCTTGACTGCGAATCAAGATTTTGGAGTTGTAGCTGCCTAGAGAGAGAATAAGAATACACGCGCGCCCGGAGCTCTTTTATACCCCTATTCCTCCTGTCGCACGCTCACGTGACACCTGTAGTTCCACCCTACTACAGTACCTAGGATTTAAACGTTATACTTAATAGCCTAACAGACGCAATTAATAAAACAGCAATTAAAGGTAGAATACCTTCACGGGATTTAATTGCAATACCTTCAGGTATAAAGCAAGTCAGAAATGTCAGAGGAGCTTGTACGGGTATACTCGCACTACTTTGCACTTGAAAGTACTACGGCGTCACCGCGTATTGTCGAGAATAAGGTTGTTACGTTCAATTAGGTGGATTACTACGAAGTACTATAGCGCATAATTGGGCGAATTTGGTAAGGCTGTAGGTCAACTGACCCACAAACTACAGCCGCATCGAGTTGGGTAGGGGATTGAGCACGAACTAATCATAGCCTGGGGACGAGTATACAGGTGAGCTGACCCGCCACCTGAGCTTGGCTCATGGTAGAAGGTTCGGCAAATCGAGAGTTAACTGCTATGTACTGAAACCACGACACAATTCGATATCAAGATCCTTAGATTCCTTACTAGGGGAGGAAAGGACGACATGAAAGAGGTTAATATAATAAGCAGGCTCTGTTATGCAAGTTGGTTCGTGCTTGTTCTATGCCTCTATTGTTCTTGCTAATCTTATTTACGTTTTATTTTTATTGTTTCTCCTATTCTAATTCTCTTGCTCTCTTACTCTTGCGTAAACTCATCTTATAACTTCTCCCTTTCCAACAGCTTCTCCTGTCGCCAGGTGGTTTGATCGTTTACCGGAGTTCTGTAGATTGCGAGCAACATCTACGCGGGGGTCTGCTACTATTAGTTCTCGACTTGATTAATCACCTGTCTAGACCCGTTTGCCGTTTTTGTGCTTAGCTGGTAGGAGACAGAGCCCTCTAATTTCTAGTAGTACAAGAGACAGCGCTGTCCATATCAATTTACGTGTAACGCTTTCTAACTCGCATTAAATCTTCAAGTAACTTCTTTTGGTCCCGTCTATTTTGTTCCCGAGTCTCTTGCCGTCGCGTCTCCTCCTCCTGCCCTTTCATGCTCTTGCTTCCAAGATATCTGCTCATTTCGCTTCTCTTCTTTGAAGTTTTCTTACGCTTGTGAAGCTTGGCCCCAAGCCATCCTGCTTTAATCTCTCCACTATTTTGCTTTTTCTTGTCCCCGAGTCATCCTGCTTTAATCTCCCCACTATATTGCTTTTTGTTGTTCGGGGCCTTCCTGCTCCAACCTCTCTTGTTCACCATTCTCCTGCTCTAGCCCGTCCTGCCCTAGTCTCTCCTTATCCACTAATACGCGATGAATGATGACCTCCTGCCTCAGAAGCATGCCTCTTAGGCGTATAAATAATCATTAGCTATATACTCAAAACTATCCTCTATATTTATATCCCATCCTGAACTTTTGTTTGCGAGGTTTCCAACGCTTAGCTTCCATGTTAGATAGATTTCCATGGTTGCTTTCGATACCAACCGCCAACGACAATGGTTTCAAACCCTTGCCATCGCATTCGAACGACGAGGGGATAAATGCATCTACTTTGCGCAGGGCCCCCGTGGCTACCAAGACTCGGGAACACGCTTCGGATTATGCTCGCCCTTTCGGCCGGATCTATCTTCGGCGATCTGGAATTCTTTGGAGACCACGATACCCGTTGACGGGTTGTCAGTAGGGGCCGGGCCGACAGAAACATTCAGGTTCTGCATCTTCACATCGTTGATAATCCGTTCCTCACTCTCGGTGTATGATAAGCCAGGGGTGGAATTGTGCTTTGCACTAGGAGATCTACGACGTCGATTCCGACTGCGGGACTCACCATCGCCACCACCGATGGTTCGGAAGCCAGTTGGATTGGATGGCGTCCGATCAGAAGAGAAGGCACTGCCGAACAGTGGTTTAAGCCATGTCTTGAAGAGGGGGAATATCATGGGAAGGTTCGTAGTGACCACCGAGACGAAGGCTTCCCGGGTACCCCATTCGCCAGCGAGCTGTGCACCGTGGATGGGGTCCTGTTGGCAAAGTGGAATTAGCGAAATGTGGCCCTGTTTGGGGGGAGAAAGGCGGGGTGTCTCCGGAGCAGCATCGAGACTCACAATTATAACGAAGACTGTCTTTAGAAGAGAGCAGATGAGAACAAACACGCCTGCACCGAGGACGATAGTGGCGGCTATCTTCTTCCCGAGTTTCATGCTAGTTCCCCAAAGCATGGGAATGGGTATCATGATGAGGTAGATATCAGTAACTATACTCGAGGTGAATGAGACCCAGATGACCGGCCTGGTTACGGCACCCTGGCATGCGTCTAGAAAGCAAGAACTGTCAGCAACGGTTACAGCAACACCAAGACGGATCGAAAGACCTACTGCCAGGATCCGGGTTAATCTGCCAGTATTTGGAGAGCGGCCTGCACGATGAAAAAATCGTTATGAACGTTGCGAGCCAGGTCACAATGACGAGGCCAAATCCGACCCAGATACGAATGCGGAAACGGTTGCTAAGGCCTTGCTACCAAGTACACAAATCAGTAACTCGACAGCCTAGGGGTCAGGGTCCTCCGAACATACCATGAGTCTGATGTAGAAGACAAGCACGGCTATCTTGAGCGAGAAGATCAAGCACGAATAAGTGCTCCAGCCCACCACCTGAATCTTGGAGCCGAATACTCTAAGAAGCTGTTCGTCAACATGCCCTGCGCGCTCTTCGTTTTTTAGTGAGGGATGTACCTGAGTTGGTATTCCGTAGAATCGACGGACAGCGCCGCTCGCTCTGCGTCCGTCATAGCATTGTTTGCGAGCCCCTGGCCGTGATTGACCGCGAAATATGCCAGAGTCGACTGCGCGGAGTAGAGCAACTGCGGAGTTGGGCCTGCGTTAGCAAATGGAAGGCTGATGTGACACTCCCGGAGGGATGTAGTGATACGCACAATGGAAAGCCAGACGATGAAGTCGTCTGCTCGAAGGTCTCTGACGCCCACCGACTTCACCCGAGCAAATGTCCGGAGAACCGTCATGAGGACGCCAACGGCATAGGTCGTCCACAACTCGATATTGAATGAGCGAACGGCTGCTGCTATTGCTGCTGCCATGGCAGCCTGCGCGGCGGGGTCAGACATGGCGACGCACTGGCGGATATGTCGAGGCCCAAACAGGTTGCTGTGTTGAAGATTGTGAAGCTTTTGAAGTGAAGTTTTGATTCAAGGCAACATTGGTGTAACGCGTGTGCCCTCCAGTTCCTGACGAGGGAATAATATCGGTCTGAGAAGGCCGTGTGCCCTTGGCTACAACGACTTGGTCACTTGGTGACTTGGTCCTAGAAAACCGAGGTGGTAAGAGAGAAGAAACGGAAACAGAGATGGATTGAGCAACCAGTGCGAAACCTAGGTCTACATGGAAGTCTTATGTGGGCCTGGCCGGATCGCCTATTTCTCGATCCTAGCCTTGACTTGGCTGTTTCCACATGGAAAAGCCAGTACGAGAAAGAGAGAAACAGCACCGTCGTTGGACAGACTAAAACACCAAAACGCTACGTACGGATCACAGCTTCTACACTCGTGCTCCGTACCGCGATTCTATTAGCGAATCGACATTGCGGAATGGCGAATGGGGGTAGCCAGGGGGTGCTGGCCCCAGGCTCAAAAAGGCAGGTCTGTAGTGCAATTCCTTGCTATATAAGAGGCCCCTTTAACCCTCTGCCGCCTCGAAACGGCCGTGCGCGGAACAACAGCCGTGGCCAAAAATCCCTTGGTGGTGCACCAACTGCACTAACTGCATTGCACCAACTGCACTGCACCGCACTGCACTGCGGGACACTACTTACTGTACGGCCTTTGCCCTACTTTCCCCCGGGACGCCCGCCCCGAGCAGCGTAGACTCGGCGCTCGGCCGGCTAGCGGGAAGCTTCCACAACCCTGCGCAGGGGATCTGCTGCAGCCTCTGGGGTCTTGGAGTCTTGGAGTCTAGTCAGATCATGTCTAGTGGGAAAAGGGATCCAGTCGTCTGGTCCGCGGCATTTGCCAGATGCAAGTTTGTTGAATAATACTATACTTACCTACGGAAGAACGACGCACCAGGACCCCCAGGGGCGATCCTTTTCATGCATGCATTGTTCTCTGCTGATCTGCGCCAGATATGGAGTAGTATTGCAAAGTCAGGCACATGGAAGCACGTCCTTAATAGCCGCGGGCTCGGGGTTTTGCAGAACGGTTGTAGCAGCATGATTCATGTACGTTTTCGAGAAGCGATTATCGTACGGAGTAGCAACATCACCTATAGGATATTCGTATTACAAGGAGATACTTTAATTATAATACATCTCGTTAATACTGTTGTCTTATAGTACTTTTTTATAAATGAAGTTTTGGCATGTCGAGACGTTGATATAGAGCTTTCGAAGTACGACATACTTATATAAGCAAGACGACGCTTGTGACATGCTAGTAGCTAGTAGCTGGTAGTACGACGCTTACGGAGGGACTCCCGCGACGATAAGACGCTTGTCCGGAGATGCAGATGCAGCCCATACGGAAAGTAAGAGCACTAGCCAGGAGCCCCCAGACATACACTTATCCTTATCCTAACTATTCCAACACAATTTCCCTTGCAATTACACCTCAATAATAGGATCACCAACAACGCCTCACATGGGGTGGGGGGGGACTAGTGCTTTTACCATACTTATGGGCTATCTCCGGATTCCGGATGATGCCCCCAACTCTGCACCATGGGAGAGAAAAGACCGTACGAAGTACAATGCGGGCGCCACAGGGCCCAAAGTAATTTGCATATATTGAAAGACCGCATTGGCTCGCCACGAGAAGCGCACGAGCACTTGCAGGGTGACGTACCTTACCTGCCGTACCAATAGGTACCTTATATAAAAGGTACTGTACGTGGATGTCTTCCCTGCTCACTTTGTCACGTACGTCGAGTCCAAGCACTTGTCGATCTCTTCTTAACTTAAGTTCTCATCCAGACACCCGTTGCTGCTGCTCTCCTCGGCCGCACAGATGTATCACCTTCAACTGAAGCTCGCGGCCCTATTGGCATGGGCGGCAGCAGTTGCCTGTGAGGGTGTCGTTGCCCCCGTACCCGAGGCCCGTGGGCCTGGGGATTGCCCACCGGGTGGCGTGAATTACGCACAGCTGGCGGCGAAGCTCTCGAAGGCTGCCCAGATCTACCAGCCAGGCTCCAGCGCGTTCAATGCGGCGGTTGCTCGCTGGTCCAACCTGAGCATCCCCGTGGCAAACGTCGTCGTTGTTCCCAGCACGGAAAATGACATTGTCCAGACGGTGGGACTCCTGCCTGACTCCAGCATCCTCCCCGCACCCCCTTCACAAGTCTCCGGTAACAGTAACAGTTTGCTTATCATCCCACGGCGTAGGTCAAATTCGCAAACCAGAACTCGCTGCCTTTCCTCACCACCAATGGCGTGCATGGATCAATCACCACGCTGGGGGCAATGACCCATGGCATCGAGATCCTTATGAGCCAGCTGAACCGCATCGCGATCGCCAGCGATGGGAAAACGGCCACGATTGGCGGTGGGGTCATGTCCAAGAACCTCACGGACGCGCTTTGGGCAGCAGGAAAACAGACAGGTGAGCATATATATGATGGACTCCTGGCACCATGGTTGTCTGAAAGGTGCCTCGATGACTAATCTCAAGAATCAGTGACGGGAACGTGTGAATGTGTGAGCTATCTGGGTCCCGGCCTGGGGGGTGGTCACGGATGGCTTCAGGGCCGCTACGGACTCATCTCGGACCAATTCGTCTCGATGAATGTCGTCTTGGCCAACGGTAGCTTGATCACAATCGATCAGAACTCAAGGCTCTCCTGGGCCATGAAGGGCGCCGGTCACAACTTTGGCATCGTCACTTCCACGACTTCCAAGATCTACGACATTCAGCACCCCAACTATGCCATGGCGACGCTGATCTTCAGTGGCGATCAGGTCGAGGCTGTCTACAGAGTCGCCAATGAGCAGTGGCATTCAACCGGCAAAACCATGCCCGTGAATCTCATCAACTGGTCGTATTGGTTCTTCGATCCTACCATTGATCCGCAAAAGGTGAGTGGAGAGTCCATGAGCGCTCGGACAATTTGCCATGTTCTGACCGTTGTCACAGCCCGTCATCGCCATGTATCTCATCCAGGAAGGCGTGAGCGCCGTCGATGCGGCTTACACGCAGCCGTTCCTCGACCTCGGACCCATCATCAACCAAGCTGTGTCGGGAACTTATCGCGACTTGGCTGCGTGGACCGGCATCTCTCTTGATGCCCCGCCCTGCCAGAAGACCGGAAACGCCAACCCGCGCTTCCCCATCTATCTCAAGTCGTACAACACCACCGCCCAGCGGCTGGTGTACAATCTTTTCGCGCAAGCTACCACCAACGCATCCACTCCCTTCAGTAACGCTCTCTTCATGTTTGAAGGCTACCCCCAACAGGGAGTAAAAGCGATCAGCGACGACGCCACTGCCTTTGCCTACCGTGCCGATAACCTACTCGTCGCCCCGCTCCTCTCCTACAAGCCTACCGGCCCGGCACTCGATGAAGTCGCCTTTAAGCTTGGTAAGCAGATGCGCCAGATCCTCTATGAGGGCAGTGGGCAGACCAGTCTCAACACGTACGTCAACTACGCCTACGGTGATGAGACGCCGCTGGCCTGGTACGGGAGCGACGCGTGGCGCCAGACCCGTTTGCACGCCTTGAAGGGGGATTTTGACCCCACGGGCAAGTTTAGCTTCTACGGACCAATTGCATAGTCAGGAAAGAGGCAACGTTTCATTCTGTACGACCCAATACTTGCTTCTCTAAACATGGCTTCCCATGCCCTTTATTTATCGGCTGATGCCCAAGAGATGCTTGGAAAGCAAGGATAGGTTATTATTTAATTAGTATAGTGGGAACCGAAATCAGCTTGCAGTTTGCAAATTCTGACGAGCCCAAAGCAAAAAAAGATTGCTATATATACCTTCCCCTCTTTGTTACCCCGGCTTCATCTTAGATGTGAATCCCACGAGGTTCACTCGCGAATGTACTGAGCACGGACGTTATAGGTGGCTCCGAGCTCACCTCCCCTATCGAGCTAGAAAGTATCTTCCTTTGGTATATTTCCTAGGTTCCGGACTATTATAGTAAAGGGGGGGGG